TTGGACACTTACTCGTTTTTGAACAATTATGTTTAGTGATAGAATAGGATATTGATTTTATTAAAAGCGCTGAAGAATAAGAAACACTATAGTGAATTTAGTTTTATTAATGAAAAACAAAAGAAAAAGATACCTATTTATATAGATGCAAATCAATAGCATATTTCTATATCATCATCATCATTTAAGATGACGTAAACATTCCAATGACGATATAAAATATGATATATGAGGAGGAATGTTATACATGGCATCATACACAACAAATGACAAAGAAATGAAGTCATATGTATTCAAGAATGTAATACAGCTGATTATTGAGTAAAATTGTATAAATAGTATATATAGATACCGTTAATACGTCATATTTCTGAGTCATGAAAAAGAACAAAGATGTTATCTTTGAACGTCAGAAAAAAATGCATGCGTCATTGTTGTAAGTAAAATAAACAAACACATTTCTTTATGTACAAAGATGAGCGCTCAGACGGCCTTCGGCCGCCTTCGCTATCAATTATTTTAATTTTTTGGAATGCTGCAATCCTATTGGTCAGTTTTCTAGATTGCCTGTAGCAAGCACAGGATTGGCATAGATAGATTGAACATGTGAAATGTTGTATATGAGCGCTCAGACGACCTTCGCTATCAATCATTTAAATTTTTTGGAATGCTGCAATCCTATTGGTCAGTTTTCTAGGTTGCCTGTAGCATGCGTAGGATTCGTTTTTTTTCGGAAAAAAATACATGTCGACCTTCTCCTAGGTGTAAAGACCATTTCTGGAAAGTTTCATAGCATTTGCTCGTACCGTGTCCAAATGCATGAAGAACAAACAAACATTCTTCTTTATATATATAGAAGAAGATAGATAGATACATGATACAAATCTTGATCATATGGAAACTTCAACATTTGTTATTAATCAAATATCCGAATTTTAATTGGATATTCTATTAAAACTATTCATAATGGTTTGCAAAAGATTGATTTTATTTTTTTAGAATTTTTTTTTAGAATTTGCTACAGCAATAATACAAGATTATTTTTCCAAACCTTTTTTTAATTATGGAAATCTACATCATGGAATACTTTTGTACATGTATATTATTCGAATATTGAATTTATTCTTGTTATAACGAATTTTATTTTTCTTTTAAAGAATAAAAATCAAACACTTGCTCTTTTTACTAGCAATCAATTAGATAATATTAAAACAGTTTCATCAACAGATGATACATTCTTTGCTAAAAATTTAACAACTGAAAAAGTTAGTCATTTTTTTGTTTTATAAATCATGCTCAAAATTTCTAAAAATATTTATTTATAGTGATTAGAATTATAATTAAATTATATAATATTTCAACAAAATATACTCGTACAATTTCTAATTATATTTATATATCTTGTTTTACCTGTTAAATTTAAACAACCACAACCGAATCTTAATGATGAACAAACTCAATGGATTAAAAAGACAACAAATCAAATAAATGAAGTCAAATCTTTTTTCTAATAAAAAAACAAAAACTGATTTTTCTTAAAAATTTTAATAGTTATTAAAACAAACTGGAACAAATGCTGATGTATTTACAACTTGCATTCAGGTATAAAATCCATTATTCAATCTAAATTATTAATATTGTTTTTTTTTAAAGCATATACTTAAACGAGAAGCAATGTAGAATTTTTGGAAAAATAATGCTTGTACTGATTTTTCCAAATCAAAAATTGATTTAAAGAAAAAAACTTCATTACAATATCGATTATCTGATAATATTCGATAAGAAAAAAAAACAAGGAAATATGACATTAATATAATCAATATTTTACTTTAGGCAATCGATTCAACAAGCATCAAAACATCGTACAATGAATTTTGAAGAATTAACAAATTCCAATCAACAATTTATACCATCTGTTCGTGAATTTTTTTAACCAATTATCGATCAACTTCAAGCAATTCCAATATTATTATCACCATCATCATCAAAAACTTCTTCAACTAATGATACAACAGATATTAAAGAACGTCAACGTATATTACAACAAGATCCTTTACTTGTTTGCCGTGCATTAACTTTATTAGCACGTCAATCACTAGATTTTTTTTGTTCAAAATACTCAAACTGTATCAAGTATGGCACAATTTCTTCTATTAACATGTGAAAAAATACGACGTGAATATTTAACATGATCAATAACAATTATAAAATCAAGAGCAATGACTGCTGCTCCAACTCCTCCACCAGCATCATCAACAATAAATCCTAATGATGAAGATGAAGATACAAGAATGGATGATGAACCACTTGAAAATCCAGCAAGTTCCGATGAAACAACAAATACTGATCAAGAAAATGAAGAAGAAACAAGAACAATGTCATCTTCTATTCCTAAAATTGATGAAGATGATGATCGAGAAAGACGATTATTCATCAATAAAACGAACAACAATATAATCTTAACTTTTTTTATGTTATTGTTTCAACTTGAAAAACGAAACATGTTCTTGTATTTTTTTTATTAAACAAAGAATTTAAATAAAACAAAAAAAAATCAAATGAATTCTTATTTTCTTTTTATTTCGATTAGTTTTTTTTCTTGAGAAAAATAATTCCTGTTTTTTTTTTTTCATGTGATCAGTCTAATCTCTTTTATGTGAGTTATGGAGTTTTAGATAAAATATAAACTGACGACAACAATAATAACTAATGATGAAAACAAAATTTTATCTTATTATCAGTTATATGTTTCAATGTGGGAAATAAATTTTTTTTTTCCTTTTTAATAAAACTTTTTTCTTTTTATTTTATTTAGAAGAAAAACTTCGTTTAAGTATTGTAACAACAGCATCAGCTGCCCTTATTTATCATAAATGTTCTTGTTATCTTGAAAAATCAGATTTTTATCAATATGTAAGATTTTTTAAAAAATCGTTTTCTTTAATCATTTTTTAATTATTTTCTAGACTTTACCAACAACAGCTTTATATCATTTATAGCAAGTAAATATGAAAAAGAACATATTTAAATACGAGATTTAATTAATGTTACATATTGGTATTATTTTTTATTTTTAAATAAAAGATAATTATCATAATGATTTCAGAACACTTCATCCTGATCGACCACATTTATGTATATCTAATCAATATCATCGTTTACGTAATACATTAGTTATTTCTAAATTATTTTTAATACCTATACTTGCTTTTCATTTTCAATTTAATCATCCAAATAAATATCTTCTTTATTATCTTGATACATTAAGTCAATGAATAATAATAATACCATCAATACCAATTAAAAATAATATCTATTTAATTGATATTGCTATGTCAATTTTACATGATACATATTATGATTATAAATGAATTAAAGATTATTCTTCACAACATATTCCTATAGTTATTATTTATTTATTAATTAAAACTTATGCTTTGAATATACCAGATATAAATAATGATGATGAACATATTAATTGGATTAAGATATTTATAAATAACTTTTTTAAAAAAATTATTTAAAAAAGAAATCGTTTTTTAGATATTTAGTTCAACAATGACAAATGAAATTCTTATTGAAATAATTAATCGAATTAATATTGTTTATAAAAATGTTGAGCGAACATTAGAACATTCATCAACACTAATCAAATCTCATTAGTCATATATTCATTTGTCTTGAAAAAGAAAACGTTTTTTTTTTTGTTTAAATATATGAATCGCATATTCATCTTCATTTTGTTATTGTCGAGCAGAATTAATAAACGGTTTTATTCCTAATGCATTTTCATAGGTATCACCATCTAATTAATAAGATTATTATCAGTATTTTATTTTAGATTCTTAGAATAGACAAGTAATTCTTCATTCGGTTGAATAATTCGTATGGTTTTATAGAATATATTTGAATTGTATTGAATAGGAATAAGATTTTCTTGATTTACTGTACAAGTGCAATTAACATAACGTAACCAATTTGATTTTGTTTGACCAATAGCATCAATATATGAATGAATTTTACCATTTGAATATTCAATTGTCCATACATAAGTGCTATTATCTGCTTTACGAGATGATTGAAGTCGAATTCCAATATCTAAAAGAATTTTAAATTCCTTTTTTTTGTTGTTGTTCGAATCAGAGGTATCCTCAGGGTACTTTTTTTGCCCTGTCCTGTCCTGCCTTTCAAGACAAGGCAGGGCAGGGTGCCCTGCAGGGCAAAGAAAGATTTTCTTTCATCTCAGACAAGTCTAAGAGAATGCAGTTTTGGTCCAGCTCTGTGTCATAACGAGCTTTCAACTTTCTTTTCACATAAAAATAAAGAAATGCACTGGTAATTTCACGAAGGACGACGTACATCATCAACATCGATAATGTCTATTTGACATTATAACAAAGAAAAAGATAATATACATAGAGAAAGTTAAGCTTCGCTATTACTGGTTCAGTAGATAATAAAGTATAATACAAGAAAATAAAGAAATCAACAAAAAAAAAGACGCCAGATAATGTAACAAAAAGGAAAAAAAGCAGTTATATCATTGTTCATTGTTTGTATTGGATAACTGATCTGACTAATAATATGTTATCCAAGTGTTCTGGCTTCAAGCTAGCACGACGTTCATTGATAACCCAGCCAGCTGTAGAGAATTCTCATTCTATACTACGTGTATTTGCAGAAATTGAATGTAACGAACGAGCATATTTAGACAAAAATGAAAAATGATTTTCATGTATTGCCCAGAATTGTAATGTATCAGTTAATTGTTTACATTTACCATATTCTAATAGAAAATAACGATCTAACCGTATTTCTGTTATCCATTTTTTTTCTTTATTGCTCTCATTGTTCCTCATTTCAACTAAACTTATTGATACAAGAAAAAAACTACAGCTAAAAATTGGTCTTAGTGTCATTCATGGCTCTGCTTTGTGCATTTCGAACAAAAATTTTTTTTGTCAAAAAACATCATATGAAAATAGCAGGGCAAAATCGGTTGCCCTGCCCTGTGGACACCTCTGGTTCGAATCGAGAATATATACATGGTCCAAAAAATGTATTTGGTTTTAATAATTTAGATGTAAAGACGGCAATAGACGCTCCTGGAATTCGACTTTTCGCACAATAAATCCATCGAGGACATGTTCGTTTAGCACGTTGAGATGATAATAATTGCGTAGAAGACAACTAACTTTTGTATCTTTATAATAAATTTGATGATTATATAGATATAAACCATAATAGAATTTTTTACATGTATCACAATCTGAACTAAATGAATTATTTGAATATGTTTATTATTGATAATACTAACAAATTTGATCATCATTTAATCGAGTTGAATTTTGATTCTTTTCGAATTGTTTATTTTTAAGATTTTTTTTTTCTTCGTGCGTAAATGATGCATATCAAGGTGTGCGTTATGCGAGTTCATCGACATAAATCATCAGGATTATTCTCTTTATATAGTCGATTATTAGCAATAATAGGAAAAGGAAAAAACTGGAAAGATAAACGATTATTATTTAAAATAAACATGCTAGAATATATACGTCATCATTATCTTCTTCTTTTTGTATTCTTATCCATACTCGTCTGACTGATTTTGAATCGTCAAATGGCATAGTAAATGTTGGCATTCAACTTTAACTCAAAATTTAAAAATAATCAAATCAAATATCAGGATTGGCTAAAGATTACTTTTAGTCCATCAGATATAATACCAAATCAAATTCTGTAGGCTTTTGTCACACACAAAATCTCTCTACTAATTTTTAAGATTGAATTAAATGAGACTCTTCAGACCAACGTATTACTTATGTATAATAAAAAATATTTAATATGATGGGAAACATTCTGACAAAAGAAGAATGACCTGACGAATAACCTGACGAATGACTTCTCAATGAAAAAAAAAAATGCTCGATAGAACGAAAAATATCAATGTCTATCAACCATAGCCTATTGTTATAAAATGAATATTTCTTCTTGATTGTTCTCTCCGAGAATAAATGAGAAAATATTTCTGTATATATAAATAAGAGACTATTGAAATAAATAAATTAGACATGAATATGTCGAATAACAATCAGTACAATATACTCGATTTACCCAATGAAATTTTATTGATTATTTTTAACAAATTGAATATGATTGATGTTATATATTCACTTGTCGATATTACTCAACGATTTAATCAATTAGTATTCGATCCATTTTATATTCGTAATCTTAATATGACTTCTATGACGATGAAATCATTTTATGATCGTATCTACTCAATAGATAATCAAGTTCTTTCAAGAATTTGTGAAAATATTTTACCTCGAATATCTCATCAAATAAATGAACTCATTGTCGAACAATATTCAATGGAACGTGTTCTTCACACTATCAATTATCCTCAACTTTACTCATTAACACTTATGGATTTTTCAGAAGAAGTTCTTTTCAATAACTTAACAAGTAAACTATTTAACTATTTATTATAGGAATTAATATTTGTTTATATTTTTCTTTTGTTTCTCAATTGAAGATAATACAATTGTTCGAAAACTTCTCAATGAACAAATAACATGTCTTACAATTGATGTTAAAGATAAGCCAAGAGAACCATCTTCTGAAACACTTTATGTTATATTTACTTTGATATTATCTTTATGTAAACAATTAAACAAATTAAGTTTTTGTCAATTCGATAATCGATCAACATTCCGTACCTTTGACTCATCATCAACAAATTTCAAATCTTCAACATTAACTGAATTGAAAATTAATGTGGAAACTTTCGATGATTGTCTTTATCTACTTGATGGACGTTTCAATTGTTTATCAAGATTGATTATAAATATAGAAATAATTTCATCTACATCAGGAACTATCGATAATAAAGTTAGTATAATTGTCAATTCTTATCTTTCGAGACAAAAAAAAGAACAGCAAATTCTATAATTAAATATTTTTTGCATAGAAAAAGCTTCCCGAATTAAAACATTTTTCGTTAACATCATATCCACACACATATTTATATGATAATTTAATTATTCCATTACTTCGACGAATGATAAATCTCGAAGAATTGATATTAGATCTGTCAATAATAAGAAGTAATAAGAATTACATTGATGGTATTCAATTATATGATGATATTCTTATTTATATGCCACGATTAAACAAATTCGCTTTCAATATATACACAAATGTAGATAAGAAGAATGTTGGAATTCTTTTTTCGTCAAATGAAGATATTCAACGTAGTTTTAGAAGAAAAGAATATGGATCAGCTGCTTCATATATTGAAATTTTCACAAGAGAAAATCAACATAAATGTCATAGCTATTCATTACCATATGAATTCAAAAGTAGATGTCACATCTATTCACTTCCATATCAATTCAGAACTTATCATTTTTTAAATAATTCTTTTCAAGGTGGAATATTTGTTAATGTTCAATTCCTGGTAATGACCGACTTCTGTCCTTTTGAGCATAACTTCTTCAAAGTTATCTCTCAAAGTTTTCCATTATTGAAAAAGATGGATATCATCAATAAAGAACCACAGAGAGCCAAGCAAAAATCATTATCATTGATCAAATTTTCTTATCTTATTTATCTTGATCTTCAAGGTGCTCATGCAGATTATGCTGAACAATTTCTCATCGATAAATATTGTCATTTACCTTGTTTGTTAAACCTTAATATCGACTATGAATCACTCGTTCTGGCCACAAACAATTTTACTAATGATGCTACACGTCTCACTTGTAGCAAATTGACCAGTCTTCGTATAAATGAACCGTTTGTACCTCCAAAAATTTTTTATCAATATTTTCCTTTATTATAAATAGAAGTTTTGTTAAAATTTATCTCAATAAAAGTTAATAATGGGAGAAGATTGAATATATTTTGATCATTCTAATTAGATAAAATAAAATGAATATAACAAAAAGAAAAATGTTCACCCCAAATCTAAATCATTTGGTTAAGTTTTATGGAAAATTATACCTTTTGTTTTCACGTTATTCTTGGGTCAATCGGTGTAGTGCAGAGATACAAGCAAGCAGATCATTTATACTTGGTGGACTCTTCTCTAACGAAAAGAGAAAAAGAATTCTTTTTATTTAAAAAAAAACAATTTTTTATGTCTCTTTAAAAAATGTCGCAATAAAGCGAAATGCACAGGCAAAACTAGCCATATCTTTCATGTTTGACAAATACAATTTTAAATTAGTTAAATGACCATAAGTAGCCTACGAAAAAAAATTTTTAATATAGAAATAAATGTTTTCTTCTTTTTACTTGTTTTGATGTATTGTATGTTACACCAAGTTCTTCTGCAAGATCCTCTTCATCAAGACCTGTTGGTAAATCACTTTTTGTTCCAATAATAATCAATGGTTTATTTAAAATTTGTTTATCATTTAATAAAAGCTAATTAAAAAAAACAAAATAATTTTCAAGATAAAAAAAATGAAATACAAACATGAAATGCTTCTTTTGCTTTAGGAAAACGAATTGAATCAGTTGAATCAATAAGAAAGATAATTGCATCAGCAGTTTGAATATATTTTTT